TTTGCCACCGGTCCTTGAAGGACCGTCCGTGCTACCGTTTTCGACCCTGCCGCCATAGGCAGCGGACCACCCACGACTTGGGTGCATCGCCGTGCACTGGAAAACCGCTGTGAGAGCTGGCTGTTTCGACTTGAACCCGTTCGTGAACCACCTCCTTTGTTTTCGCTTCCAACCACTGCTACCAGTATCGCACTGATACTGGTAGCGGAGCCTACCAGAGCTCCGTGGTGGCTCGCGCTGAGAGGCTTCGACCGGAAGCGTGGGCCCTTGCAAGAGTTTTGGAGATCCAGGGCGACTTCGGTGGACTGGCTAGTGTTTGGTTGGGAGATTCATTGCACGAGTCATTGAGTCCCTCGATTACACTTTGGTGGCTGCAGCATTTTGCTTTGCCCTCTGGTCCTTTGGCCTTTGCGCTTTGCCCGCACTACTCCCTTGACTTTGACCTGTCCCTTGCCTTCGTCTTTGTGAAGCAAAGATGGCCGACAAGGACAAAGAGTCTTCACTTCGCTGCCATTGGGATGGCGACCTCAGCACTTGGCCTGACTATGTCCGAAAGGTCAGGCTGGCCTACGGGAAGACTCGAAAGCGGCGCAGAGCTCAGCTAGGCCCAGATCTGGTTTCACAACTTTCTGGCCGTGCATGGATCGTAACACAAGAGATTGACCATCGACAGCTGACGCAACCAGGAGGGGCTCGCTATTTGATTTCCTTCCTGGAAGAAAGATTGGCCCGTGTTCCAATTCCTGACGCTGGTTCACAGGCCGAGAACCTACTACTTCGACTACGCCGTGTTCCAGGAACTTCAATGGCAACTTGGTGCCATCAGGTCCGTGAGGCATACAGGAAACTTCAACGAGCTCTTCGACGAGCCCGTGGTGACCTTCCTGATACTAAGGAACCTGAGGCCGCACCTTCCTTGTCTTCCTCTCGACCTCGCTCTGGCCCTGAACCTGCTGCTGAAGATGACTCCGAGGCCGAGGTCACAGTGGAGGAAGATGAACAACCAAAGTCTCCTACCCGGGCGGCTTGACCTGCCTCTTGGAAGGGAAAAGGAAAAGGGAAGGAACCTGGCACTCCTTCTCGAGCTTCGAAAGGTTCTGATGGCTCCTCCAGCGAAGATGAGGACTTCTCCACGCTTTGGGACGACCTCGACCTGGGCTTGCCAGAGGTCCTTCCGACCGAGTTGATCGGATGGATCATGCTGCGAAAATCCTCCCTGAACGCAGCTCAGAGGTTGAACGTCTTGTCCAGCATCGGCAACTCCCTGAAGGCCGAGGATGTGGAGAGAGGACTTCGTGGAGCTGAGGATGAACTTCGTTTGGTGGAGCGAGAACGTGAAGGTCGACCCAAAGGTCATAGCAAAGGCAAACGCCACACTTCGTTCTGGGTTGAGCAGGACGGTGAATGGGGCCTTCTTCTGATGGAGGAGGCCGAGACTGAAGACTTCCTGGAGCAGGGTGACATCCACTGGCTCTCAGGAGCTGCTATGGAGCAAGCCTTTCCGGCTTGGGAAACACCTTCAACGCCTTCATCACGGCCCGAGACTGAGGACCGCTTTGTGATGGAGGATGGCTTCTATGCAAGTGACCCTCAGCTGCCTGGTGCCTATGCCTGGTGGAACCTTGAAGCTGATGGCGAGTACTACCACCAGGACACCTTCGGCACGTACTGGGCTTGGAGTGAAAGTGAAGCCTGGAACTCTGTCCTTTGGAGTTCACCTGATGAGGCCAAGCCTGTCGTCGAGGCTTATGCCGCCTATGAGGAAAAGATGAGAACCTTCCAAGATAGCAGACGCGCAACGGCTGCCAAGAATGCGAGCCGTGGCTTCTACCCGAAGGGCAAATGGAAGGGCAAGCAGAGCTTTGGAAAGAAGGGTAAGGGCTATGGATCACGCCCTACTTTCTCCTGTCCATCTACGGCATCTTTATTTTCGGTGATGGCAGTTCAAGGAGGAGGCAAACCTGGGTCTCCTTCCTACTCAGGCTGTTTCATTTGTGGCTCCAAGGATCATGATTTCAGATCCTGCCCCAAGAGGTCTCGACCTGGAGGAAAAGGAAACAGCAAGGTCTTCATGGTTGAAGAGAGCTTCATTTGCCATGCCTGGTCTTCGCCTGAGAGGCCTTTGGAGGTGATGTCTGTTGGCGAGATCTCCTCGCCAGAGATGGAAGGGTTTGGCGTCTTGGACACCGGCGCCACTGAGACCGTTTGTGGTTTGAGTGCCTTGGAGTGGATCATGACCCGCCGTGCACAGGCTGGCATGTCCAATGAGGGCTTCACCGTTGTGGACATCCCCAACAAGTTGTTCAAGTTTGGCAACGGCATGAGCCAAAGGTCCGAATCAATGATTCTGCTGCCACAAAAGCTTGGAACTCGTTCTTTGTCCCTCGGCATTTTCACTTTGGCTGCCGAGGGCGTGCCGGTGCTAGGTGGCATCCGCACTTTGACCCGACTTGGAGCTTTGATAGACTGCTCAAGATCGGCTTTGGTCATGACGACCATTGATGCTTCTGTACTGGTCCCTTTGAAGCAAAGCGCTTCCGGACACTTGCTGATTGACCTCACCAACGACTGGATGAGCGAAGGCTCGAAAGTCCTTGTGGTGGATGACCTCTCCGCTGAGCAGCAATATGTGCCACCGCAGCAGTCGTGCTTTATGGTTGAAGAAGGCAATGAGGTTCAGGAAGAAGGTCTTTGTGATGCATGTCCATGTTTTTGCACCGCCGCTTCACTTTTGGAACCTCATGAGTTGAGTCATTTTGAAAGTCTTTCACCTGCACATGCGCAAGAGTTTTTGAGTGATGTTTTTGCCGTTCGTCTTCATCAAGATCATTTTGGAAGAGCACCTGTTGATCTTTGTTTGAATGCTGCGACTGATCCAGAGGCTCAAACGTTGGCAATGTCCTGGAGAGCCCTGACTCTCCTTGCCACCACTGCGACCTTCCTCGCTTCACCTGGCCATGTCGCAGGGCGCTCCGGCCAAGAGCAAAGCAGCTTCGCCTGTCAAGACCTCTCCGAAGCCCGAGAAGCAAGAGAAGAAGGGCAAACAAGCTGCCACCTGGGACGAGAAGTACGATCAAAGCAGAACAGTCCCAGCGGATCCCAGAGACCCTCGAACCTCGGGACCGCCTTGCCATGGAAACCATCGTCCAGCTCCGGCATATCGCGGCAGCGTGTCGGGGAGCAACGGGCATGCGAGCTGGGTGGGATGCGAGAGATGCTTACTTCGGTTGAGCTACACCCCAGCCTACGGGGCGACCGGAGTACACAGATCTGCAGGTCCGATCCCCGAAGACACCAAGAAGCAGGTGGAAGAGCTGAAGGAAGCTGCTCCGTTCAACCCTCTCCTCAAGACGCAGGCAATCGCTTTGGAAGGAGCAGAACGTTCGTTGCTGAACAAGTTGGACAAGATCCGGGCCAAGAAATCCGCAGCCGGCTATCCGCCGAGAAGCCCAGACAGCAACGAGACCTACACTCCCTCCGCGGCTGCCTCAAACGAGACAACATGCCCCAGGACTCCGTCGGTCATCGAGATTCCAGATCAAGAAGAAGTACAAGTCATCGACCCGGAACACCTCTCACAGGTACCTGGGAGCAAGTCCCGCCGCAGCGATCGTCCTGCAGAGGAGGTGGAGTACGAGGACCGCGAATCTCGCACGTGGTCAACGGTGAGTTCACCGGAGAGACGGTCGCAGTGAAGAACGACTCCCTGGTCATGGATGGCGCCACGGCGAATGACCCAGTTTTTGAGAACCACACCATCCCTGAGTATGACCAGCTCAATTCGAATGACCTGGCTTCCAAGAATGTCCGACATCTGAAGAATGTCCAGGTCCCTCCGAATGTCAAGGTCCCTCCGAATGCCACTGTCTTGAAGAACAACGTGGTTCAGACCAATGTGGAGACCTTTGAAGCTTCTCCACCGGAGGACAACTTTGATGAGGAGGGCATCTCCTATGCCCGCAAGATGACGGACTATGAGGCAGCTTTTGCCTGGGAATCTATGAATGAGCTTGTGGAGGACTCCGATAGTGTCTTCATGGCTCATGGTGGAATCGCCTCCCGAGAGCATTGGGACATGCTCGAACTCTGTTGCAGCCCTGACAGTTTGCTGGCAGATGCTGTTTTGAGAGAAGGAGGCTATGCAGGTCGTGCTGGACTACACAACGGATGTGATCTCACGAGGCCCGATGGTGTTGACCTTACCATCAGCCTGCTTCACCAACACCGACCTCGCTGGCTTTGGGTAAGTTTTCCTTGCGGCCCAACATCTGCAGTTCAAGCTCTCAATGAGCGGACGGAAGAAGGAAGACTGAAGAGCCGCTTCCGGAAGCGGCATGCGAGAAAAGTGCTTCGAGGAGGACTACGAGTTCTACAAGAGCAACTGGCCCTTGGAGGTGAGATTGCATGGGAATGGCCTAGAAACAACAAGGCCTGGAAGCTGCCTGAGGTGATTGCTTTCTGGGAGTCGTTGCGCTCTCAGAACCGCTCCTTTGAGATTTTGGGTGATGGCTGCATGTTTGGGCTCACCAGTGAACATGGTCCTGTTCGCAAGCCTTGGAGATTCATGGTCACCGATCCTCATGCTCTTCAAGGATTGAACCGCCCTTGCTGTGGAAGCCATCACCACGTTCCCTGCCTGGGACCCATCGCACGCCGCTCGGCGTACTACACGCCTCAACTCTGCAAGATCGTTGCTCGTGGCATCATGAAGTCCAAGGAGTTGATTGGAGCAGTTCATGAACCTGTGGAGCCAGATCCTCAGGTCTTGGAAAAGTTGACGCCTCAAGAACTGCAAGTGCTCATGGAGAGTGCTCGGAAGCTTCATCGACTTTGTGGTCATCCCAACAACCGAGCTCTTCTCAAACTTCTTCGAGCACGAGGAGCAAGTGAAGAGTTGAAAGCTGCAGCCATGCAGCTGAAGTGTCCTGAATGCATCGAAAGCCAAACTGCGACTCCCCTGACGAAGATTTCAGTGGAGCGAGAGGAAGTTCTTTGGAAGACATTGCAAATGGATGGCTTTTACTTTCGCCATCGAGGCTGGATTCACCACTTCATCCTCTTCATGGACGAGGCCAGTTCCTTTGCAGTGGTGAAGGAGATTAAGTTTCATGAGGACGACCAGTCTGAGAATGTCTCCACTCGCGAGGCCATCGAGGCCCTTGAGGAAAGCTGGTGCCAGATCTTTGGCTATCCCTCCAAACTTCGATGTGATGCTGAGGGAGCCTTTCGTGGCACTGAACTGGCAACATGGTGCTCCGAGCGTGGCATCGACATGCAGCGCACTCCGGCTGAACACCATTCCTCCACTGGCTTGGTGGAAAAGGGCATTGGCGAACTTCGCCACAAGATGGAGACCTTCCTGCGCAATGAGCCTGTTGAGCCAAAGAGAGCCGCTTTTGCTATGACACAAGCACACAACCATGTGACGAGAGTTGGTGGCTATGCACCAGCTCAGTGGGCTTTTGGCAGATCAGCAAGTGCCAAAGAGGACATCGCCATCTCCAGTTCCGAGGCCACTCCAGGTCACCAGATGGCTGAAAGCCTACGACTTCGCATTGAAGCAGAACATCTTCACAACAAGTTGACGGCCGCCTCACGACTGTCACGAGCACAAAATGCCCGGAGCAAACCTGTGAAGCAGTTCATTCCAGGAGATGTGGTGTACTACATGCGGCACCGCACACCTCGAAGAGCACCTGCCAATGCTGACGTGGACACTCCACGAATGCGGATCGCTCGTTGGTTTGGCCCTGCACGAGTCCTAGCAGCTGAAACCCGAAGAGAGCATGATGGAACTGTTTGCACTCCCGGCAGCACTATTTGGCTGGTCAGCTGTGGTCGCTTGCTGAAGACTCATGTTGATCAACTACGACATGCAAGCGAGCGTGAGCTGTTGATTGCAAATGCTTCACACACTATGGCCACACCATGGACCTTCAGCATGCTCACTGGTTCTTTGCAGAAGGGCGCCTTCGAGGACCTGACCGCTTCACGAGCTGAGCGCTTTGAGCAGAGGAGGAAACAAACCTTTCGCCCACCAGCTTCCAAGCGACCTGCTGGTGAGCCTGAGGAGTTGGATGTGATCCCTGAAGCACCTGACAGTGAAGCCTCATCTGAGGAGTTGCTTCGGGATGAGGATGTGCACATGGATCCCACACTCCGTGATGGCATGCATCCTGATGACTCCGATGAACTGGACATTGATCGGCTTCTGAACGATCCGGAGTACATGCCACTACATCCCCTTCAACCTCCTGGTGAACCTCCACCAGAACCGATGGAGCAGGACTCAAGCTTCAAGCAAGCTCGAAGAAAGCGTGAGATGGATGATCGCCCTCATCATGCCAAGTTTCCTCGTACCAGAATCCTGATCTGGTTGGATGGTGCTCTGAGCCGAGCCACGACTTTGTCCTCTCCGTGGTCATTGACGCCCCTGCCAATGAAGATGAATGGAGGCGCATCCTCAAGGACCCCAAGAAGTACACGGCAAAAGCCATGCAAAAGGGCTGTGAAGTGGCGTGGCGCAAACTGAATCCTGAACAGCGTCGGGCTATGGGCGAAGCAAAGCGCCTTGAGGTGGATTCTTGGTTGACCAACAAGGTCGTGGCCCGTGCTGGTTTTGAAGTGCCTCGCTCACGCCTCATGAAAATGAGGTGGGTCCTTGTGTTTAAGTCCGTGGAGGATCCAAACTCCGTGGGCAAAGTCAAGGCAAAAGCTCGCATCGTCGTCCTGGGTTACTCTGACCCTGATGGCGAGAACCTTGACAAAGCAGCTCCAACTCTGGCACGTCGCAGCCGACAGCTGCTGCTCAACCTGGCGACACATCGCCGCTGGCGGACGCTCAAGGCGGACGTGAAGGCCGCCTTCCTGCAGGGCTCTGAGTCACAGCGCTCCCGTGATGTGTTTGCAGTTCCAGTTGAGGAGCTTGGACAAAGCCTGAACATGAAGAAGGGCGAGGCTGTACGACTTCTTCGAGCAGCCTATGGACTGGTCAGCGCACCACGTGAGTGGTACCGCGACGTGGACAAGATTGCCACCCATGAGTGCGGCATGCATCGTTTGGTTTGTGAACCCTGCATTTGGCTTTGCAAGGACAGCCATGGCGTTGTTCAAGGGGCCATTGCAAGTCACGTAGACGACTTCATCGTGACCGGCAACGAGGGGAATGAGCTTTGGATGGAGACCCTCAACACCTTCCACCGAGCTTTGAACTGGAGCCCTTGGGAGCCAGACCCCTACATCCACTGTGGAGTGGAAGTGCACCAGCAAGCCAACTTCGGCTTCAACCTGAGCCATGAGCAGTATGCCTCCCAGATCAAGCAGATCGACATCGACAAGACCTGTGCTCATGTGACGCCCTCAGAGCTGTCGCAGGCAAAAGCCGTGTTGGGAGCCATTCAATGGCGTGTCAGCCAAACAGCACCGCAGCACGCGGCAAAGTTGTCTCTGTTGCAGTCCATGCTGCCCCATGGCAAGGAGTCCAAGGACGTGCTGCACCAGATCAACAAGCTGGTGAGAGAAGTCTATGCCCAACGTGGGCTGTCTGTGAAGGTGCAACAACTTGAGGCTCAGCAAGACTCCGACCTCGTGATGATTGGATGGTCTGACGCTGCAGTTGCTAACAGGCCTGACCTTTCGAGCACCGGGGCCTATGTTGTTGGACTATGCCACAAGCAGATCCTCTCCGGCATCCGCTCACCGGTGAACCTGGTGGCTTGGCGCAGCGGAAAGCTTCGCCGAACTGCCCGCAGTTCTTTGTCGGCCGAACTTCAGGCCTTGGGAGAAGCAGAACAAGAAGTGATGTTCTGCAGGGCGCTTTGGAGTGAGCTCCTTGGATACCCCTTTGATCCGAGAGCTCCTGAGAAGTCGACCAAGATGGTCAAGAGTGCCTTGGTGATCGACGCAAAGTCGGCCTTTGACGCCTTCCACAAGGGCGATGGTGCCTCGGCTGCGTTTAGCCTCAAAGAGAAGTACAGTGCCTTGGAGTTGCTCGCGATCCGCGAGAACATGGTGCGCCAGGACACCAGCCTGCTTTGGGTGTCCTCAGAGGCACAACTTGCGGACGGCCTCACCAAGTCCGCGGCCCAAGACCAGTTCCGCCTGTTCATGCTGCGCGGTCAATGCTGGAATGTGAAGTACGACCCACAATTTGTGGCGGCCAAGAAGAAGCCAAAGATCGAGACTGTGGACCTCGATGGCATGTCTGAAGAAGAGCTGAGCCCGGATTGCACTTGGTGTGAATTCCTCCAGCGAAGGATCAGCATAAGGCAAAAACTTTTCGCCCATTTGACAAGTCTAGCCATTTGCATGTGAGTTCATGTTCTGATTTGCC